CGAGAGGATTAGGGCTCGGAGTGGGACGGAACGGGGACGGAGCAAACGGGCGCGATCCCACAGCAACATCTGGGGAACGTGGTGCTACTGTCTCCAATCCGTCCCATCCCGCCCATGAAGCGCACCAAAAAAGAACCACCTACCTGGCTCCTGGCCGAACTGTGCATGTGTGAGCATGCGCAGTTCGCCAGCCTCCCCTTCCCACCGTTGCTTTCTCCCCGGCATCTGATCGTGCCGGGGAGCGATGGCGCCGCGGCTCGGGGGATCCGTGAGATCCCACCGCGCTGTCTCAACTTTGATGCAGCTCAGATTAGCCGCAGTTCGACCGTCCTTTTCCCTGCCGTGTGGCAGGGACCTTGGTGATCCTTTACTTCATTCAGGTGTTGACCAGGATGGCTTCCTCAGGCTGTGGGGTGAGTTTCTGTATTACTGGCCACATATTTCTGATGGCCCAGTTCAGTTTTGCTGAAACTCTCCACATGATTTTTTCATTTAGTTGTTTTAGAGGCAGCAAAACAATAGCAATATATCAGGTGTTTCAGAACTTCCGTGTGGTTAATATAACATGTAGACTAAATCAAAGAAATCACCATCATTTATTTTCATTAGCATTGGTAACAAAGCTGTTGCTAGTAGAATAGATTTGCTAAGGCAAATAGGAACTCTGACATGATGTAGATACATTGAATGGTTTATAGACTGGTGTTTTCTTCCTTCCCATGCTTCTATATGACCAGAACAAAAGTTTTAAGTCTTCTCAAGTGTCAGTAATTATGAGAAGTTTTATTTTCCTCTCATAAAAAGGAGAGAATTTCGCTTTACTTAGAAGAATAGGGAGGGGATATAGAGGGATAAAGAAAAGTGTTGAGTGATGTTAAGTATCAGTAAATTAAACTTTTCAAATTTAAAGTTAAAGTCAAAGTTTTTTTTCTGTGAATAGGTGATCTTCTTTTTCTTCTTTAATTTTCAAAAAGATAGTTAATATGTTAGTAATGTCCTTTTGGGGTTAGAATTACTTTTACAGCACAGTCCAAAAACAGTTAATTCTTGGGGCCTTTCCTTTTCTTGTCTCTCAAATTGTACTTTAAGCCAGTCGCTCCTTTATCTTCTTCATCCTTCACCTCTCCCTCAGAACTGCTGTCTCCGCTTTCTCCCGTCATCCACTTGGCAAGTTCTGCTTCTTCTTCTAAACTGGCGTGCCTCTTCAGGAAATCTTGAGCTTTAAAGATAGTCTATTTTTTCTCTTCTGTCTTTAAACTTGAAAACCAGTCCTTCTGGCACCAACCATCTGTAACTCACTTGCTGATTTTGTAAGAACATGGTCAGTCCTTTATATTCCTTTCTTTTCATTCTGATTTGATCTCTGAGACGTTGCTTTGTAAATTTCACTACCACTTCCGCAGGCAACTTGTTTTTCTTCGTGAAGTTGGAGTAGGCTCTATAAACCAAATCCATCTCCTCTTTTATTTTTTCTGCTTGGTTGCCGGTCAGTGGTGCTAACGCTGTTGCCAAAATGTCTCTGA